CCGCCCTCGGCCTTCATGACACTGATGTCTGTGTCCATGGGCTCTGCATATATGTTCTTTGGCTAATCTCTTCACCTTCTTTCATGCAGTCCCCCCAACTCTCCTCCCTTTTGACCTCTGTTGGTTAAGTTTTTTTATCTATTCAGCTACCTTTGTCTTGTGATTGGAGCATTTAATCCATTTACATTTAAGGTTCTTATCGATAGGTACTTATTTATTGCCATTTTTTCTTTATGCTTGTGTTCCTCTCTCTGTTTCTTCTTCTTACAGCAGACCTCCTCCAGTTCGTCTTCTTCAGTTCCATTGATCAAAATGCATTACCTTCTACCCTGCTACTACCTATCTTAATATTACAGATGTTAACAGTGTTGTGGACCAGAGTGACTGTGGGTGTGTTTGCTTTTGCTCTCAAATGTAGATTCCAGAAGGCAAGGACTAGTGCGTTCTCTAGCACCTACAAGAAGGACTGGCATACCCTAACTGCTCAATGAATATTTGTTAAATAAATGAATAAACTTCCGGAGAACAGGGACTGTAACTTTTTAATCTTTGGATTCACCACAGCATCTTTACATGAGAAGTAGATAAATAAATGTCTTTTTAGATTGTTCATTTAAATAGAGTTCATGTCCTAAAACCTTTGCAGGAATAGCCATTTAAAGCTCAAAGTCCAAATATGCCATATTGCATCATAGCTATAACATGTTCATTTACAAACTTTCAAATCATGCCACATGTTTTCTCTGATTTGTGAAAAATCATAGAGTCTTACAGAAACTTGCACACACATGAGCGCACACACATTTTTAAAAAATATTTCATCGTATTATGGGGGAAGATATTTGAAATCCACCCTTCCTTGGAAAACTGGAGTGTATACATAATGATTTTTCCTACTGTTCTGGAATTCTTTACTTCTGTGGGACTGGGAAAGTATGTTATATATGCACGTCTTGTCTCTGTGGATGCCAGAGACCAGGTTTTAAACTTTAAAAAGTCTCATTCATACTAGGTTTTTAATACTTGCTGAGTGATAGAGTTGATATTCTCCAGGATTGTAAAGGAGCTTTTTCCACATGAGCTTTTTGTTTGGTCTGTTGGGATTATTTATATTTTACAAAAGATCATTCATTTCTGTCTGGGTTTCACCTCTTTTCTAGGGAGGTTCCTTTGAAGGATGCGAAGGAATATGCTGAATCCATAGGTGCCATCGTGGTTGAAACAAGTGCAAAAAATGCTATTAACATTGAAGAACTCTTTCAAGGAATCAGTAAGTATCTGAATCGTGTTTTTAACTTAGCTTACATTTTTTATGCCTCTGAGTCAAATGATGAAATCATAGAGCTCTGAAGTAGAGCTTTTCCTCGGTGTGAATTTGTTTGATGATGTGGATATAAAACCTACAAGCATGTACATGTCAATATTGACCTATATTGTGTCTCCCAATTCTAAATTTCCATAATTCAGTTCTTTAACCTGATAATTCTATGTTTTATGAATCCAAATGAAGTAACTCTGTTGCAAAATAAAATTTCTTTTAATTAAAAAATATACTATAGCATTTATGTGTGGGGGTGGAAAAAATTAATTTTGCTTCTACCCATCTAAATTCTTCTGGCTGAACTAATCCAGTTGACATGAGACAGATTAACAAGAGAAAATGACCAAATTTATTATGTATGTAATATGGGGGCTTCATAAGAATATGGGCTCCCAGGACAGGACTGGCAGTTGAGGCTTACATGCTATCTTGAGCTAAGGAGAAGGGGGGGGGGCGGGTTTGTGGTTTGGGAATTCAAAGGGGAGGAAGGCAGTCCACATGGAGATGGAAAAGCAAATGTTTGGTAAACAAATGTTTGCTGGGCCATCTTAACAATGGGACACAGAGAAGACTGATCAGATGGCCTTGCTGGTTCCTCCTGCCTGTCGCACCAGTTCTTATTAAACTACTGTAGTTATCTGTAATGATACCTCCCTTCCTGGAGCAGGTCCTCTATCTAAATTCTTTTAGGCAGTTAGCGTGGAGGTCAACGGTTTTTCCTCAGCCTTTCTTTTCTTAAAAATAACCATTTTAAAATAATCGATATCTCAAAAGGCATGTTGTGGGATGGCCCACTGCTTTCCCTCACAGATCAATCTGTTGAGGGTAGGAGAAATAAAACAGACATGGAAGAGGTATAGAAAATTGAAGTCACCCATTAAGCTGAATGACACTAGGCAAATGAAACAAAAGAACATTTTGTACTTTCTTTTGCTTGATGTTCGCCAACAAAAATAGTGTCTCCATCCCACGTGACCTGAAATTGGGAATTGGGTGGAGAGTAGATTTGTAAATGTTTTCCTCATTTCTGATCAGCTAATTAATGGAAGGTGATTTCTCCGTTCTTCCTCTCCAGTTCTGGGTAATGTTATGCTTCCCTTTCTTTACACTGGTTCCCCATGAACAACCTTTATCTAAGAGCTGTCTCCCAGCTCATGGTTTACAACTTCTCTGATAATGATGTTCTGTTCTGGGTGCCCTCAGAGAGCTGCCTGCTGGCAGCGATCTTGTAAAACTGTGTCCTGAGATACCTTCAGAGCATAATTGGGGACTTGCAAGAGGTATAAGTGTTTAGTGAGGTGCTGGGACTCAAAGTCTTTGGGTCACCTTAGGAAAAGTTAAACTCCTGAACAGTTGGCAGTTGTTCTCAAATATCTTGGCTCCACACAGTTCCAGAAGGGAATTCCAGAAGGGAAACTGATAGTTTGATCTCTCTGAGCTCATTGTTGGCGGTGTTCTCAAAGTCAGAGGGACCATTGCTTCCCAGAACAGATTTGATTTCCTTTTAACTGGTTTTGGTTCATTGCTTCAGACTCTGAGAACCCACAGTAGGGAATATTTTGTTTGTTTCCTTTGGCTTGATGGAGAATTCACTAGAGATGAGGAACCCTGACTGGTTTTTTGCATGATACAGAAACACACAAAAGAATGCGGCCTCCCCCCTTCTTGTTCCCTGGTCTACACCACCTTCCCGTCCAGTCTCCTTCAGAAGGGTTCCTTGTCTTGCCTTCTTGCCGTTACTTCATGCTTGCGTTTGCCAAGACCGTCGACCTGAGTGGCTGAACTCTGAAGTGCTAGGGCTGTCATTTTATGTTGGAAACCCCATATTCCTGGACTCCTGCTCCTTCCCGAGCGTGGCCTTGCGTGCAGTGCTCTGCTCAGCTGCCCTCTGCAGTTGTGTAGCTCTGGGTGACATCTGACAGCGTTTGGCTTGAACTCATTCCATTAACCTCCTATTTCCTGAGGTCAAACTCATTCTTTTCCTGGTGGCATTTGACTTTTCTGGTAGGTTAGGCTAATTGTGCAGCTATTAAGTATTTTGTTTTTATTAATGCTTTTAATTAACGAAGCTAGATAGTTCCCGATGACCGCGACTTTCACACCTGTCTTTGTGCAGCTCCTTGTATTTTCTAGAGCTCTCTCCGCCGCTTTAGCCCCTAGAAGGTAGGCAATGCAGATGGCAGTGCCCAGTGAAGGAAGCTCAGCACTCCGTATACCTCAGATGCAACCTGAGATTTCTTCTCCATGAGCTCGGAGACTCTCAGGTTTATGTAAGCCATAATTAAAATACCAAATTCAATAGGACCTCAAAGAATAAAACAGACCTAAGTAGCAAGAATTGATATCTTAATTTGAATGATATTTCTTTGTACGGTCCAGCCAGCATAAATGCCTTCATGCATGTGAAGCCTTATAGCTCAAAGGGGTGGGGACTTTGACTACAGAATTCCTGAGATCCTGCTGGTCTGTTCATTTAAGAAAAAACAAGTGTTTTATTTAAAGCACCGGGGAATTATGGCTTTAAATAATCAATTCCTATAGAAGCTGTAGAATACTGTATCACCTTGTGTTCCAAGTCAAATAAACAACTGTTTGTGTTTCATTATACTGTGGTTTTAAGTGCCTTTGCAAAGAAGCCTGGAAATACACAGCCTGCGGCAAGATCTCTCTCCACATATATACTGTAAGTGGCGGTGCCTTCCCAGCCTCTCTACTCCTTCAGGTGAATTTCTTCTGAATCAGGTGGTGTAGCCTGAGTACAGGTTAATTTAAAACACAGTACCACGTACACCTAAATATATTGCAGCAGACGTTTCGTTTATTTTCCTTTTCCCTGTTTCTACTTGTATTACATGTACTTCTCCCTGAGCTCAAAATAGACTGAGATCCTGCTGACACCTATGCTCCCCAAAGCAACGATCCAGAGACAGACGTGCCTGGGAGAAAAGATGCAGTAAAAAAACCAAGAATGAGCCGTGAGAATAAAAGCCCCTTTAAAAAGGGGTGCTTACACAGAATTAATTCATATTGACTTGACTAAAGAGACAAATGTTTCTCTTTTACATTCCTAGAGTATTCATAAACCAGAAATGAATCAACTGTGTTTTCTGAACATGAGTTAATATATTTTCTAACTGGAAATTGTTTGCCAAAATATCTGTTTTCAAAGACTGAAGCTACCCGGGAAAAGACTTAGGTGCTGCCCTGTTTCGGGTGGTCTGTGCACAGTCCTGACATAATGTAGTGTCCTGGGATTGGCATTCCTCCAGGCACCCTTTTCTAAATCACATCTTTGGACCTTTATCCCACTGCCTGGGGCTAATTCTCTTCCATTCATTTGCAGCCCGTATTGTTTATTTTTCTTTCCTGGGTTCTTATACCTTTGAAGATTAAAGATATCCTCTTTGAGTTAAAAGACAAGAAGAATTCTTGGCCAAGAAATGATTGTGCATTTGAGTTTTTAAATTGGTGTAGGAAAACACAAAGAATATTCTGCTGCTATTATTACAGTGTTAAAAATCAAAAGCAAAAATTCTGACGGTCTTCCTTATGAACTGCTCTCTCTAATCGTCGCTTGAAAGGCAGGGTACAGAGCTCCGATGTCAGCCTCTCCTCTCGGCAGGCTTCGCCTCTGTCCCCTCCTTCGTACATTAGTTCTGTTGGGCCCTCTATGTGGTGCTCCTCCTTCCCTGCAAACCTTAATTCCTGCAACGTCCAGTTCAAATCTGCCCCCTGCATGAAGTCTTCATCTGCCCCAACTCTCGCCATGGGTCCTGCCTTTAATTTGAGGTTACATACGGTCTGCTGCATCATTTTGACATCGGAACATATTCTGCCTTTAAACTGTTCTCCAAGTGTTTCAGGCATAGGCCCATTCTTCCGGTGAGTCTGTAAGTTCTCGGGGAGCAGACCGTATTCCGTCATATTCCCCGTAAAGCTGAGACTAGTAAATGGGATAGCGCCAAATTCAGGGTTTGGAATTTGGACCTTCAGCCTCATCTCACGATGTTGCAGGAGATACTGTTCAGGGTCCACTAGATCGAGTGAAGTGGAGTCACCTTTCTGTGGGACTTAAGTTTGCACAACACCAGCCTATTGGACAGGCCTTAGTATCTCTTCATTCATTTGTTCAACAAATATATCCTGTGCCCTTTGATGGGTCAGGTTCCTGCGAGACACAGAGCCATCACGGTGAACGAAATACACTGGCGGTGAGGTGGGGAGCGGGGCTGTATAATAGGCGTGTAATCACACATTGTAATAAGTGTTGCGAGACAAAAAATAAGGACTGCGGGGATAGTGACAGGTGGGGACTTAAAATCATTTTCTTGGAGATCTCCCCAAGGAAATGATTTTAAACTGGACCTGAAAAATGAGAAGTGGACAGTTGGGCAAAGAGCTCAGGAAGGGCCGTGAGGCTGCGTGGACACGGTGAGCTGAGCTCCTGAGGCGGGAAGCTGCGTGACTGAAGGAAGGGGAAGGAGGCTGCTGGCTGCGGGCGCGGCTCGGGGGCGACGCGGGAGACGAGCTCAGGGCCGAGGCAGGTCCTCTCACAGCCTCGAATGGGAAGGAGGGGGTCATGCTCCACATGCAACTGGAAGCTCCTCAAGTGCTTCAAGCATGAATAATATCCAATTTATACTGACGGAAAGATCACCCTTGGAGAGTGTGTTGGAAGGAGAAAAGCTTGGAACAAGGCTCGGCCTGTTAGGATGCTATCTAGTCATGTAGAGGAGGCGTGGCTTGGGCTGTCATGAAATGAAGTGGAAGTGAATTTCAGAAATTCTGGAAGTAGAATCAATGACACTGGGTACCCGGTTGGAAATGGGGACCGAGGAAGCCAGTGATACTGAGATGCACTCCCAGGGGTCCCTCTCCTGGAGCGAGGAAGATTGGCACAGGAGCAAGCGCTCTTGGGGCTGGATTGGTTGTGAGCCTGGAAGAATGGA